GCTTGAGCCACATCCCCGGCCCTAGCTTTGAATCTTGAATGACACTGTCCTTAGTTTTTCTAGTAAAGAGTATCTGACCTAGAGCAGTCCCCTGAGCACTCACAGAAGGACCACCTAGGGAAAGCCACTGGGCCCAGGGATTCCAGTCAGGAATCCCTGTGTGCCTTGAGCCATGTTGTGGTCTCTCTTCCCAGCTGTTGGTGCAGTGGCATGTAACATTTCAAGACTGAGCCAATTATCCCATGTGGGGCAGAGAGGGTACAAAGTCACCTGCTGGCCCAAAGTTCATGTCTGGTCTTGGTAACCAGCAGGGACCTCCCAGGCCACACTTTGGAAAGGAGCTTCCCCCTGGTTGGTCCTAGCTCCCTGTGCAGCCTCTCCTCTAGTCAAACCTTCCTCACATCCAGCCTCCAGCCCTCGGCCTTCCTGCCTGTCTTTTAGCCCCCTCCCCCTCTCTCATGCTGTCTTTGTTCTGGAATTCTCCTCCTGGATCTTCTTTACCCAGAGAGCTGCTTTATGTTCTTCAAGGCATCACTGAGATGCCCATTTTTCTGGGACTGTTCCTTTTCCCTTTGAGAGAATGACTCTGTCCCTTTGCATCCCAGAGGCCTGCTATGTGCTGGCCTCAGCCAAGGCCATTCAGTTGCAAGTCCTGTTTTTTCAAGCAAAAGGGAGATACATTGAGTATATACAGAGTTGGGAGGCGGGTATGTCCAGGCCACAGCGGGCAGTTTGGGGTGTTTCCCCATGTTTGGTTTTCTGCATACCTTTGTCTTTTTCCTCACCCATCCCTCTCAGCCTCCCCACCTCTCTTCCATTCTGTTCCCAAGCAACTTGTCTCTTACACATGGTTCCAAATGGCTGCCCTGAGCCCTGTAGTTTTTTTACTTTTCTGCCCACTACCAAATTGGGGGATGAGTGGATGGGGGTACAGGTTGGCCATGCCCCTTGCCCCTTTTTGAGTCAGGCAATGAGTTGAGGGTCTCTGGCCAATCCAGGTTGGTTGCTCTTAAATTGTGCTCTGCTTAGGCCCGGTCATTAGCAACAACAAGCTGGACAAGGGGCTGCAGAGGAGAGCAGCAGGGCCAGGCCAAGCAGCTGTCCCTGGAAGGGGCTTATACCCCTGACCCTGAGAGAGCCCTGCAGCACTGTCTTCACTGTCCCATCCCTTTACTGTCAGTTATGCACATACTTGGTGGGACAGAGCATGGGCAAGCCCACCATTCACACCCCTAGTCCCCCAAGCAACCTGGCTGTCATCAGAGTGCTGTGAGTGTCTATGGATCACTTTAGGGTTTAGCCAGAGCAGCTCAATGGGCTGACTGGAGAAAGGTCCAGAAACCTCCTACCTGCAAATGCTTTATTCAATTGAATTTTTACTTTTGGTGGTACAGGGGGTTGAACCAGGGGCACTCTACCACTGCATTATATTCCCAGCCCTTTTTATTATTTTATTTTATTTTTTAGTTTTCGGCGGACACAACATCTTTTGTTTGTATGTGGTGCTGGGGATCGAACCTGGGCCGCACGCATGCCAGGCGAGTGCACTACCACTTGAGCCACATCCCCAGCCCCTATTCCCAGCCCTTTTAAAAAATACTTCATCTTGGGGGCTGGGGTCATGGCTCAGCAGTAGAGTGCTCGCCTAGCACATGTGAGGCCCTGGGTTAAACTCTCAGTACCACATAAAAATAAATAAGATAAAGGTATTGTGTGCAACTACAACTAAAAAATAAAATATAAAAAAATAATTAAAAAATTTTCATCTTGAGACAGGTCTCACTAAGTTGCTGAGACTAGCCTCAAACTTGCAATCCTCCTTCCTCTGCTCCTGAGTCCCTAGTATGACAGATGTGGCCACAACATCCGGCCACCAGTGCTTTATGCGGCGTTCAGGCTGACCCCAAGGAGAGCACTGTTCACTGGTTGACCAACAGAGAGGGGGTGCCTACTACCCTCTATACATTCTGCAAGGCACCAAAGGGTGGTGACTGCCCTCTCAGTCAGGAAGAGGCAGGAAGCATCTCACTAGCATTGGTGGTCTGGGCAGAATATGGCTGAGACTGCCTCTGCCCTCTCCCATGTCTCTCCTTCACCCAGTTAGACAAGCTGAGGACAATCATCGAGAGTATGCTGGCCTCCTCTTCCACCCTGCTGTCCATAAGCATGACCCCACACAAGCCCTTGACTTACTTCACACCTGGCCGGATTGACCCCAATGCTACCTGTCCGGCCTGCAGCCTGGACCTGGGCCATCAGGTCAGCACACTTGTACAGCGCTATGAGCAGCTCCAGGACATAGTCAGCAACCTGGCTGCCTCCCGGCCTTCCAAGAAGGCCAAGCTCCAGAGCCAGGTGAGTCTCTGCTTGCCTCCCTCCCAGTGCCCTGGAGGCCCTGCAGAGTGTCAGCTGACAGCTCTCCCCAAGAAGGGGAGCTTCAGGCTTGAGATCATCTTTAGCCAGATCCTACAAAATTCCCTGATCCTTCCACAGGGTCACAGCGTGAGTAGCTGTGAGTCAGCTCTGGGGACAGGAGACTGAGAAGAGCTGGTTCAGTGGGCAGGGTGGTCCTGGCTGGTCAAGGGTAGAGCAGTGCCATGTGTGTGCACATTTGAGCAGACAGCCACTCCCCTGGCATGCCCATCTTCCCAATTCCTTCCAGATTTCTCTCCACAAGTCCTGCTCCTGGACTCAAGAATTCATATTTGGATCCTGAATCCAAGATCAGGGAAGGTGGGGAGAGACTACAGCCACTGGAGCTAGACCTAGTGAAGTGCTGCTGTAGGACCAGTGGAGATCTCTCTCTAGAAGCAGCTCAAGAGCAGCACATGCTCCTGAGCCTCAGTCACCTCTGCTGATCACTGTACTTGGCCCAGCAGCTCCTCGTCCTGTGGCAGGGGACACAGGGAGGACTCTTTGAGGCTGCTGGGTGGCCCTACACCTTGGGGCAAATCCATGAGAATGTAGAGGATTGCTGTCCCTGTCTGGCTGAGGACCCAACTGTTGGTGGGAAACTGAATGTCACTGTGTAAAATGGACATGTATCTGAAGTGAGCTTCCTTATTGGGTGGTGAAGGGCCACCCAGCAGCCTCAGAGAGTCCTCCCCGTGCCCCCTGCCACAGGACGAGGAGCTGCTGGGCCAAGTACAGAGCGCCATCCTGCAGGTGCTGGGTGACTGCGAGAAGCTAAACATCACTACTAGCAACCTCATCGAGGACCATCAGCAGAAGCAGAAGGACATTGACGTGAGCAGCTGGGGCAAGGCTGAGGCCCACACCACCCACCCCTGCTGCTCAGCTGCTGGTTCTTTATTTCTCACTTTCTGGGCCTCCAGATGCTGTACCAGAGCCTGGAAAAGCTCGAGAAGGAAAAGGCCAACAGGGAGCACTTGGAGATGGAGATCCATGTGGTAAGCACCAGTTCCCAGGGGCCCTCTGCCCTAGGGTGGTCTTGCTGGCCAGAGGGGTGAGGGGCTGGTGGTGTAGGGCATGGAGATGTGGGCTCTTGGAAAACTGTGCTTCAGGGGTTGACATGGGGGGGATGGGCCCTGTCATGGCCCTCTCCCAAGTGGGGCCTCCCCTACTCTTCATGCAGAAAGCAGACAAGAGTGCCCTAGCAGCCAAAGTGAGCCGTGTCCAGTTTGATGCCACCACAGAGCAGCTGACCCACATGATGCAGGAGCTGGTAGCCAAGATGACTGGGCAGGAGCAAGACTGGCAGAAAATGTTAGACAAACTCTTGGTACAGATGGACAGCAAGGTGAGTGCAGGAAAGCCTGCAGGATGGGTGGGGCTTCCACTGCCCTCAAGGCTAGACCCCCATCTACTGCCTTGGTCTCACCTGGAACCCACCCCCACCCAGCTGGACCGCCTGGAGCTAGACCCTGTGAAGCAGCTGCTGGAGGATCGGTGGAGATCACTGCGGAAGCAGCTCAAAGAGCGCCCTCCACTCTACCAGGCAGATGAGGCAGCTGCCATGAGGAGGTGAGGCCCGGAGATAGCTGGGAAGTGGCATACCTTGCTGGGAGGGCAGGTGGTGGGCTGGGGATCCCCAACAAACTGAATCTTCCAGAGATGTCCCATTGTTGGAGGGACAAATTTTAGAGCTGGAAGAAGTCTTCTAGCTCAGACCCCTTCAGATGACCACAGAGAAAGGGAGTTGGGAGATGCTAAGACTCCCTGGTGAGGTGTGTTGCGCTGGGCCCTTGGGACAGGGAGAGGTCTGTAGTCTCAGAATTGAGATGTTTCTTGGGGACCTGGGTGGCAGTAGCCTTGAAGCCCAGGATTACCATTCTTGGCCACCAGAGGGGCCCCAAGGCCTATGAAGAGCACCCTTGGGACCCTGCTGACTTTGAGTAAGGATGGCAGGTGCAGGCCGTGTGTGTGGAAGCAGGCATGTGCGAAAGCAGGGCCACCCTACTGAGCCTCCTGCCAGCCTGGATTGTGGGCAGCCAACCCCTCTGAGCTCTCCCCCTCTGTGCACCTCACTCCCAACAGGCAGCTCTTGGCTCATTTCCACTGCCTCTCATGTGACCGGCCTCTGGAGACAGCTGTGACTGGACAGTGAGTGCTCACACCTGGCCCAGGGCAGCTGGTGACCATGGTGGGGTGGCATACAGGGCTTCACTTTCTCCATCTGCCTACCTCACCTCTTATCTTTTCCTTCAGTCTCCTGGGCCTACTTCCTACCCTGCGCCTTCTCAGGTCTGGCTAGCCTGGGGTGGTTAGGAAGGTCCTTTAGGCAGATGGAATATGGGAGTGGTAGGTGGATCCAGTGATGGAATGTCCAAATCTGAGCCCCCCTACCTCTGTGTCCCTGTCCAGAATGATCCCCCTGATTCCTATGAGTCCTGGCCTGCCAGCACACCGGTCCATTCGCCCCTACACAATATTCGAGCTGGAGCAGGTCCGCCAGCAGAGCCGCAAGTATGGGGCAGTGGAGTCCTGGGCAGGATGAGTGGGAGGGTGGGGTAGAGAAGGCTCCAGAGGGTGCCCTGGGGCACTGTACAGGGCCTGAGGTGAGAACCTGCCACCAGTCGGGTTCTGAACTACCTGCTAGCCCTCCTGCTCTCTCCCCTTTGACTTATTTATACTTTAGCCTCTGGGGAAAACCTTTCTGGGCAAGTGTGGCCCCTCAGGGGTGCCTTGGAGAGGGCTGATGCCCTGGGACCAAGCTGCCCCAAACCTGTAGGCCTCAAGCCTTTCAAGGGTGCTAGCTCCGCCCGCACAGGGTTTTGCAGAATAAAGGCCTATGGTGTAAGGAAGTACTTACGCCAAGTATAGGAATGGAGGATGTGGGGCTCTGTCCGTCTTGAGCTGACCACCCTCCCTTCCACCTGGGCCCCACAGCCTCAAGCTAGGCAGCACTTTCTGTCGGGGTGACCTGTCACCGATGGAGCGGAGTGCAGGGCGCCTGCGCACTATGCACTCCAAGATGCTGATGGACATTGAGAAGGTGCAGATCCACTTTGGAGGCTCTGTGAAGGCTAGCAGTCAGATGATCCACGAGCTGCTGCAGGCCCAGGGCCTCACTTCCCCTTGCTACAAACGGTAGGGGACAGAGTTCAGGTGACCATGCCTGGTTTATGCCCACCCCACAACCATGTGAACAAATGCCTCACTCCACTGTGGTAAAGGGGAAGGTGTGTAAAAACATGTGTGCGTGAACATGCTTGTGTGTATGTGTGGTGACCTCAAGGTTGCTGTGCTCACTCACCCACCTGTCCCTGGCCCCTTACTCCTGCCCTGACTCCTGGGGACTCCCTCAAGAGAGCTGCCTCTGTGTCTCTGGCTAGCCCCATCATAGGTGTGTCCCAGGTCACACTCTTGGTAGCTCTCAGTGACTCCATGCTGTCTGCATCACAGGGTGCCAGATGCGATGGTGGGTTACACCTACTCCACTGTGCCCCGGCGCTGTGGAGGAAGCCACACCCTCACCTACCCCTACCGCCGTAGCCGCCAGCAGCACCTGTCCCAGGGCCCGTATGCTCCTGAGGAGATCCAGATAGCCATGAAGGTCTGGGCCCTACCAGGGAGCCTCAGGGAGGAAGGTCCTGACATGCCCCAGATTCCAAGTCATTCTGGAAAAACAACCTGAAGTCACCTCCTGTGCCCCTTGCCTTGGGGCGGTTTCTTAATCAGACCCAATTCAAGCCCCTTCTTTACATCCTGCCTTGGGTAAAAGATTGCCACTCCAGCTCTGCCAGCAGGCACTGCCACTGCAGGGCCTGAGAACCACGTGCTTTCCACTTCCTCCCACCTTGTCACTGCCCTGGTGCAGCCCAGGGTCCACAGGGAGAGTTGTAAACACTGTTTGGTACCAGGAGTCAGAACAGTGCTCTGTACCCCAGGCCTTCACAGGGGCAGGAGCAGAGGGAAAGGTCTAGGTGTCATAGTGGTAACAGACTATTTGCCTCTACAGCATGACGAGGTGGATATCTTGGGCCTAGATGGACATATTTACAAGGGACGGATGGATACGAGACTGCCAGGCATCCTGAACAAAGACAGTGAGTATGCAGGTAGCCCAGGGTCCTTACTTGAGTCCTAAGGGACCATCCATCTCCTGGAAGGTTGAGCATGCCTTGGGCTACCAGACTGTGGGTGCCACCTTCTTCATTTCCCTGCCTCCAGATGTTCAGGTCTCTCCAAAAGCCCCAGGTAAGTGCTTACGGATAGAAGATAGCTTTCCTGCCTCAGCCGATCACCCAGCAGGTGGTGGCCCCATCTTTTCTTGCTAGTCTTCTCCTGTCACCACTGCTGAGCTGACCCACCTCAGGCTGCTCCCATCAACACAGCCAAGCTGTACCGGTCCCTTCTTTAAAACCCTGCAAGACGCCATCCCTTAGTGATCTCCCATGACCCTGAAGGCTGGCTTCCAGTTCCCCGTATCTGAATCAGGCTGTTTACCACTTCCCATTGTGCCTAATTTTAACCCTTCGAGCACCTAGAACTCACCACACCTGGCACATAGCTTATGTGTGTAGTTTTTCAGAGAATGAGTGAGTGTAGAAGAATGGACAGATAGAGGATGCATAGATGGATGGTGGGTGGAAAGAGCAATGGTCAAGAGCTGGGTGAGCGGGGGGGGGGCGGGGGGCGCCGGTGGTAGGTGGATGGGTGGGCATGTGAATAAGTGAAGTCCCTGTAAAGGGTGAAGGGGCAGATCTACAAATTCTGACCATTCCGCTGAGGCTGGCTGTGACCTGCAGCCTACATCCATCTCCCCATGTGCCTGGGTCTGTCTCAGAAAAGACTCTTCCCTCCACTGCCCTCTGCAGCCTCAGGAGTGTCAAAGCACAAGACCAAGCAGCCCCGGCCCCACCTGCTCAGGCATCAGGCCCTGGGTAACATTGGACAGCTGCCCTCCCGGCCTCAGAGCACCCACCTATTGGCTGGCAACAACTCAGGTAGCTTTCTTCTGGATGAGGTGTCCTTCCATATGGCTTGAACACTGTCCTCTGGTCTCTCCTTCCTGCCCCACCACCCCCTTATTCAGCTAGTTTATACCTTTGTTTCCCTGAAGAGAGGAACGGCTGGGAGCTGAAGGGTAGGATGGGAAGGAAAAGAGAAAGTCAATTACTGAGTGCTTGGCATGTGCCAGGTCTATGGGATGGATACTACTGCTATTCCTGATTCATACAAGAGGACACAGGTTTCTCTGGCTTAAGTCCAGTCCTTCCCTTCTCACATAACAGGATTCTCTTTGAGCTGCTGCTTATGGGATCCAAGCATGGGACCATGATCAGGACATGGGACCATGATCAGGCCCCAAGGGACCCCTCACTCTGGTGTTGCCTGGAGGTATTCCTCCCACCCCCAGGCCTGGAAAGCTCCCACAGCCCCTGGTCTCATCCAAGGAGCTAGATCACATCTTAAGGTCAGGGAGCAAAGGGCCTCAAGGTTAGCCATACAAGGGCCTGGGTCCCTTGCTAGGATCCTGGAGCCAAAAGGCTTGATCAATACCAGGTAACTATTCAGGTCTCTCCCCTCTGCAGACCTAGGTTTTCTCATCTGTCATCAAGGGGGTGGGGTGCTGGATGCATGCTTCTTAGAGTTAGGGCCCCTGTGAGATTGTCACAAAGGTGTCAACCTTCCATTTATCAAATACTCAGGTACCCTCAGTACCTAGTAAATCTGTAGGAGGTTCAAGGATTCCCCTGACACCCACACACCATCCCCATCCCCAGCTTGAGGGCTCAAATCCTCTGTGCTCTGTAACACCCTTCCATTCCCACATTCAGTGAGTGCCTGTGACAAAGGAAGAAGGGAAAACAGAAGAGAAAGCTTTGTTGGTAATGATGCCTCGCCTTCACTGGGGATGCCTTCCTGTCCAGGCAGCATTTAGGAGTTTTTATACATACAATTTTAATCCACACACCAATACTAAGGGGTAGGGACCATTTTTAGTCCCAGTTACAGCTGAGAATACCAAGGCGCAGAGAAGTCTTAGGAAACATTCCTGTGCCTTTATGATCTGTGTGATGTTGCCTAAACAGTCCTGTATTAACATTATTACCCAAGAGGCAGACTTTTGGCCCCAACAAGAGGGCATGTTTACTGACTAACTTTCCTTCACAGGGATTATAAAGGAGCCCCAACTGCTCCAGCACTCCTAAGTACTCTGCATACTCCAATCCCACCAGCCTGGCCAATGGGGCCATGCTTGACTTCCATGTGCTTTGGGTGAGCTGAGTGGGCCTTAGTGGGTATGGGATACATGGTGGAGCCATCTATGCCCTCCTGTCTTGCAGTTTCTTCGAGGCAACATCTCTCCCAGTCAGATATGGCCCATCCACCCAGCCCCACTGAGATGGAACACCTGCAGGACAACGGTTCAGGACCAGAAATGCACATGGACATACCTCCTGAGGAGGAGCTAGAGGAGCCCACTCGGGGACCACGGTCCACCACTGCTCCCTGAATAGAGCTTTAAGTAAATGTTTAAGAAGAGGCTTATATTGGAGAAGGCTTCTCTGTCAGTCCTGCCTCCGGAAGATGGAGTGGGAAGGCAGTGCCTGCTGCTGGCCAGGCAGCCCCAGGTACCCCCAGGGTCCTCAGTCTGAGAATTAGACCTCCAGTCCACCACACAGATGAAGCTGTTCTGAGCGTGCCGGGGCTCCTGGAGGGCTTCACCGTTGAATTCAGGGCAGCCTGGGTTGGGCCTCCTCTCACACCCATCAGCCAGCCCTACCTTCTGATGTGGAGGACTGGCCCAGGACACTGGATAGGCCTGGACCCATGGTGTGGATGTGCTAACCGTATCTTGGAGTAGAGGGCAGAGCTGCTTGCTACTACCCTGCTGCCAGCTCAGGGCAGCTCCTGGGTCCTCACACAGGTCCCAGTGAAGCAATGCCATGAACCAGAAGCAAAAACCCACAGCCCCTGGGAAGGTTACCATGCTCTGCTGTCTGCCCTTGAGTGGGCCACACAGCCAGCCACAGCCTGAAGGCCAACCCCTGGCAGAAGGGCTGAGTAGAAGCTTCCCTGGCCAATGCCTGGGAAGATGGAGAGCAGGGGTTCAAGGGGCATGGCTTGCATTTTGTGCAAGGCTGAGCCTTCAACCTGCTCCAGGCGGCTGCTTGGCCCATTTGGTCACCTCCTCACTAAGCCCAAATCTACAAACCTATGGAAAAAATGCACCGCTATTGGTGGGAAGGTACGGAGGAGTACTGTGTGATTGAGCCAGCAGCAGCTGCCAGGAACAAGCCCCCAATTGAACCTCCTGAACTTGGGTCACTGGCTGAATTCTGGGGTCCCCCAGGAGACAGGCAAGCTGGGGACAAAGAAGGCCTGAATCATCAAAGCAGTTTCTACCTGAGGTCTTTTCCCACATCAGAGGGAACCAAATGCCCAGAGTGGAGGATGGGGCTCTCCCCACCCCCAGTTCCCACCATCCCTCACATGGGAAAGGGATGTCTCGGGTAAGAGGCTCATTTGGGGGTGTGAGAAGAGGGGGCGAATCACACAGGAAAGAGAGGCAGGAAATGGCCCAGAAATAGGTTTCTCACCCCTGGCCTGGTGTGGGCAAAAGTGGGCTTGGTGGGGGATGCTGTGGGAGGTGGGATGCACCCTGAGGGTGGTTCCCTGCTTCCTGATCCCAAGATCCCAAGTATCTTTAAGTAATCACATAATGCTCATGGCTGGGTGGGAAGAAGAGCTGCTTGGACAGTGGGCACCCCAGGCCAGTACCCTTTTCTCTGTACACAGGAGGCAGCGCCAGGTCATCCCTTCCCCCTTGGCTCCTATTTCTCTCACTAAAGCCCCACCCTGGCAGTGAAACGCCAGAAGGTCAGCTCAGTTTCCCTGGTCTAGAAGCCAAATTCACAGGCTTGGCAGGGAGGGGCAGGTCAGCTCTCCTCACCCACAGAGGACAGGAGTCACATTCCCTGAGTTGCTGGGGCTGGCCCCCACCATTCCACACCTGGGCATGGCCGCTCCACCCTCTCCCAGGCTGGCACACACCTGAGTGCACACCAGCCCCGGTCCCAGCAGCCTCTAGGGGTGTCACAGCCTGAAAGCCCACGTTCCTTCCAGGGGCTTCCCCTGCTAGCCTGGGAAAGCACAGGTGGGCAGGGGCAGAGCTGAGGCTGGGAGGAGTCTCAGGGGTTTCCAATCAGGAAACAAAACTGAAAGGACAAACCCAGCTTTCACGTGCAGTAGACAGGGCAGCTGGGCTCACTGTTCCACTCCACTAAAGGAGGGGGTGCCCCCAATCAGGGTGAGAAGATGCAAAAAGGCCCAGAGGCAAGGTGGTTAACAACCTGGCTGGGGCCCTTAAGTTTCACTTCACTTTAGGCCAAAACCTCCAGTCCCCAGCCCAGCAGTTCTGCCTTTCAATAGCCCTTGGTCCTGCTCAAGCCACAGGAAGGAGTAATGCTCAAGGCAGGGCTGCCCCTACCATTGCTGGTACTGGCTGCCACATGGTGGTTGTCCATGGCTCCAGGAGGAATTCCAACCATGTGGCAGGTCACTCACTCTCAGCCTGTCTCACTCACCTGAACATGTACTGGAGGACAGCCAATGCTGCCCATTCTAATACCTGGAGGACTGCAGCGCAGGTGGAGGAAATGGAAGCAAGTGTCTCCAGGAACCCACCCACTCTCTGGCTCCAACAGCTATGGAGTCATACAAATACATACTCATTGACACACCTCCCCAAGGGAGGCTGAGGGTAGGAACAGTAAGATGGTCCCAACTGGAAGATGCAGGGAGTGCCCAGGGCAAAGCAGCATTTGGGAGGATACCAACTTTCCTAGCATCAAAAAGAATTGGTTTCCAGGGCCAGCCCTGTGGTGCACACCTGTAAGCCCAGCTCCTTGGGATGCTGAGGAAGGGGATAGGCATGCATGCAGCTCAGTGATAAAGCTGTGCTCAATCCCCAGTGGGGTTGGGGGTGGATGGCTTCCCTCCAGGCTCAAGGGTTCTGCTGTTCCCAGCTATAGACAAGGACCAAGTCTTGCAACATCGAAGTCAGACTTGTCCCTACTTTTGCTTGTACTATCAATTCCCCCATGCAGATGCCATCCAGAAAGAACAGCCAAATTCAATGGGGCCCCTCCCCCGACCATAGCACAACCAGAGTCCCCACAATTCTCTTCCCAAAGGCATAGCTTCTACCCAGGAAAATAAAGGCACTGCAAAGCAGGGAAGTTAAGTCTTTTTACGTTTTTAAATTAAAATTCACTCTGGTGAGATGAGATTTTGACTCAGGAACTCCACCCAAAGGTGAGCTCCTCCAACCCTGGACTCACATGGGGAAAGCTTAGGTGACCAGAGGACAGTCAGGGATGGGACAGTTAGGTCCCCCACTGGGCAGAGCCTGGCCTTCCAAGCCAGCTCTTAAGTCCTATAAGCCTTTCATACCCAGCTGGAGATAGAGTGACAACAGCTAAAAGTCACCAGAGTGGCCACGAAACAAGGGTGGCAGAGGAGATGAGGAAGAATCAAGAGCATGGCAGTGTTGGGGCTAGGGGGCAGGGAGAGCCCCGTGATGCCAAGAAGGCCCTTCTGGGACCTCTCCTGCAGCTGCTAGGTAGCTGTCCCCAGGATGGGAAGAGTTGGGATCTTCTTCCTGATGGCAGGTATGAATTCTGAGTGAAGGCAGCTCACATCCGACTGCAAAGGACATTCCACCCGACTTTGAAAGACCCCTTTGCCCAGAGACTGGACTGGGGGGAAGAGCTGCTGGCCAGGGAAGGATTCTCGTGGCTCTTCCCCTCTGACTCCGCACCTCAGGTGTATCCACCTCATGCTCACATACATTAGTTATATTTATATATTCATATATATTATAGTTATATATTAAAAAGAGAAAAAAACTTGCCCAAAGAGAAACTCCTGAGGGACCCAAGTGGCCCAGGAAGTTTACTGTCCCCCCACCCACAAAAATTCTTTTATAAAATCTTCCAGTGCGATCTTCAGGAAACCCCAAACCTCCCCAGCTCCCCCCTCCCTGACCCTCTTGTGTCCCCACAACCCCAGACTGCCCCCCACTCCAGCCCAGCACTTGGAGGCATCCAGTCTCATCTCTGGCCATCCATCGCTGCCATGGCTTTCTGCTGGGCGCCCCCTTGCTGTGCTCCAGGGGGCCACGTGGGCTGTGGGCAGTGGAGGTGGTGGAAAGAGGTTGGGGAGGAGGGCGGGATCCAGTGAGCCTGGTGGCTGGGAGGGGAGGAGGCCCAGAAAGGACTGAAGTTTGCAGGGGGTGAGCAGGCCACCGCAGTCATGGGGCTGTTGCTGCTCTGCAGGCCCTCGGAGGCACGGAGCTTGGAGAACATGGCCAGTGCATCGGGGAAGTTGGGTGGTGTGGCAGGTGTGTTGCTGGGAGTACACATCTGCAGGGAGAGAAGAAGGTGTGGGGAGGGCTGCCTGCAGGGTCCCAGAGCCCTTTACTCCCATCGCTCAGCCCACAGCTTCAACAGGATTGAAGCACCCTCTCTCTCCTCCAGAGTCAATAAAAACAAAAAACCAGGGCAAACACATAAATCTCGCCAAAGCCAAAGGGTCATCCTTGGAAATGACACCAAGGGTATCAGAAAAATCAGCCGGCTCCCTCCATCACCCATCCTCAAGATGTTCCCAGGGTGCTGGGTAAGAAAGAACAGCCAGCTACAGAAAAGCTACTCTCGTGTTGAGTTTATTCCACATTCTCAGTCAAAAAACCCTGGAGCCCTCACCTCCAAGATCTTACTTCTCACAAGGAGGCCTGGTTGGCTGAACTCTTTCCATATTGTAAACAAGTAAACAGGCTCAGAGGTCAAGTCATGACAGAAAATGCACTCAAAAGCAGGGTGCAGTTGAGAAGGCCTGGTCCAGGCTCCCAGGTCTGTAGGCTCAAGGTCCTTAACTGTGGGAAGGCCACACTCTGCTGGGCCAGAGCTTCCCAGTGCAGCATCCAGATTTGGACTCCCTAAGTCTGGAGTCTCCAGCCTCATTACCTGCCTGTCCTTGCCCAGAGGCTTGGCAGCTGGGTCTAAACAGCCCCTCCCAGTACTCTTATGGGGGTAATTCCAAACAGTCCAACAAGAGTAGTCTTCTGCCACTGCCCTTGGGGCAGGGAACAGGCAGCCCAAAGAACAAAACCTACACAAACTGGGCTGACCTCAAAGTTGTTTCTCCCTTTCCCAGGAAGCCATGGGAGTCCTTCTTTGAATTTCTCCTAATTTTAGTAACACTGGCCCCACCCCCAGGCACAGGGCTGAGGTGGGGGCAAGACTCTTGGACTTCACCATGAAGGAGGAAGGCTTGCAGCTCCACAGTTAAACATAAGGCAGAAACTGAGAGGGGGACCCCACCCCACCCTGGTCAGAGGCTGGTGCCACATCAGCTCCTAGGGGAACTCTGACCATTGTCTTCCCAGGGGCCCTCAGGGGAGACCAAAGAACTCAGCCAGAAGCCAGGCCCCACCCAGACATTTCCCTCCTCCCTCTCGGGATTCCCTGCCCCCCATCAGGGCTGAATTCTCCATAGCAGGAAACAATGAATGGGGGGTGGGGGTGGAGGCAAATTGCATCACAGCATCGTGACCCACTTCCCCAGTTCACCAAGTCAGTGGGGCCTATCTCCTCTAGCAGCCACCCTGCTCCAGAGAACAGCCCCATGGCTAACAGGGCCTGTGCCTGCCTGCCTGCCTGCCTAGGTGAGCTTGGGCAAGTTTCCGCACCTCTTTGAAGCTTCTCTCTGCTTTAGTAAAACCAGGGGCTTGGACCAGAGTACTAAAGCCCCCTCCCCAGGCTCTCCAGTGAACCCTGTGTCCTGTCACCCCTCCTCCCCCTTAGGTCAAAGTCGTCCTGCTTCCAGTCTCACTGACCTCCTTCATTATTATCTGGGGATCTTCCTCCAACTGTGGGAATCTATAAAACAATCCTATAAGGAATCTATAGAGCAATCATTTATAGATTACTCATGTCTTGGTAACTTCTGGTATTGCAATTCTGTGAACAGTCTCTGGTGTTTTTATTTCGCTTTTTCCTTTGATTTATTGTCTAAAAGAACTGCCAATTCTGAGGGCAAGGACTGACCGTCCTGATGAAGCCCCAGTACTTGTCACTGATGGATACACTGATTATAATGTCTATTACAAAACCTGCTGCCTCCCCTGAGGGAAGCTTCCAAAAGCCATTACAATCCCCCTGGGATTTGCAGACAAAGGGGAAGGCAAAACCAAACAGAACACCAGTCTTGGCCCTTTCCTCCAAGTATCCCAGGTCCTGGCCCTTCAGAATGGCAATGTTGAAGGCCCAGGGCATTTCAGAGTGACTACAAGTGGGAAGGAACAAATCTCAAGGCTCTTTTGAGAACCTGATAAAGGCAGGGAGCTCCCAGAGACTTCCACAGCTGGATGCAGAGGAGTATGTCCCCTGGAGATGAACCCCTCCTGGGCTTACTATGGTGGGGAGAGGGACTGCCACAGCCTTGCAGCCAGTACCCGTCTTCCATTGTACTTCCAATGCCTTTCTTCTGTGATTTAACGTCTGCATGAGCCACTCTAGGAGAAAAGCTAGTTTAAAAAGTCAAGGCAGACCCGTTTGTCCTCTGTGACTAGATGAAAACAGTAAAGGACAAGACACAGCAGAAGTTAGGAGCAGCCTATGCCCTGGAGAGAGCCATGGGCAAGGACACCCATGTGTAAAAAAAATGCCAAAAATGCACCCTGAAGCCACAGCAGCGTTGAGGAATAATGTTTTATAGTCCCCATCACTGAGCTCAATCCCTCCCACCCAATGGGCTAATAGGTAACCAGGGGTGGGGGTGAAGAACGGATATTCTGGGACTTCACAAAGCAAGGTACCCCCTGGCCAGGAGGGCAAAGGCTTCCTCCTGGGGCCAAGTTGGAAAGAAAACAAATCCAGCCCAGAACCACTTCTGTTTCCTGGACTGCAAGTCTCTGAACGTACTGATATTAAATGCAAATTCTTGGGCTTATCTTGGGTCAAAATCTGTTGTCCTCCTCACACTGGGTATCTCGCCTTGGGCTTTAGGGGGGTCAGCATACCTTGGGCTTTAGGAGGGCTAGCCGGCTTCCTGAGTGGGTGGATTTATCCCTTCCCCGTTTCCTGCAGCGCTGGGTGTGTGTGGAGGGGGAGGGGGCTGCGCTCAAAGCTCCCGGCTCCTCATTAGCACACGAATACCCCAAATCCCAGCGCCCGCCCGGGAAGGCCCGGGCGCTCCGGCCGCCTGGTGTCCCTCCAGCCCGCTCCCCGCCCCTGCCCGCCGGCTCCGGAGCCCCCGCTCGTCCTGGGGCCGTCACCCGCCCCTTCCCCTCAGGGCGCAGCGCCCCGCACCAGGCCTCAGGCCCGGGTCCCGCGGCCAGGAGGCGGATCCCGAGGTGCGGCGAGGCCGCGCCGGCCCCGAGCGCTCCTTCCAGGAAGACATTTTGGCTCTTTGTTTACATTCGCGGCGCGGCGCTCCCCGGCAACATGGCTGTCACCCGGCTGACAGCGCCCGCCGGGCCAGCCTCCCGCCGTCCTGCCGAGCGCGCCGCCCGGCCCCACCGGGCCGCGTCCGCGCCGCGACACTTACCATCTGGGGGTGATGGTGGCTGTTGGGAATGTTGGTTTCTTGGAAAAACGTGCTCAGGGCGGTCTGTAGACAAACACGGGGCAGAGCGGCATGAGCACGGCCCGGCCGGAGCGCAGGAGCCGCCGCCGGCCCTCCGCCCAGCCTCCCGGCCCGCGCCCGACCCCTGCCCCAAACCCGGCC